ATAAAACTACTTTCTTCTTGTAATCAAAATGAGGCCTTTTGAGAAATCTGTCATCAGCCCCGTGATGACAGTGACTGCTATTTTATCAACAAAGGTGACTGCTGTTTTATCACATATGCTGTCCTTATTTGCCAAGCAAAGATATTTTATTGGTGAGCACATGCTTCTCTAAAATCAGGAAAAATCTTGCAAATGATGCTTTAGGAGAGCAATGAGATAGTATGGGGGAACTAGTTAGAATGCCACAGGATCAAACCCCAAATCTTCCCTCTGACACCTGCCACACATCAGGAGAAACTCTCTCTCAAAAACACCAGGCAACCCCCTGTCCTATCCTACTAAAATAATCAAAGACAAAATATTCTGATACTGGTCTAGAGTTATCATCTCTTCAGGGCCAGAACTCGCTTGCTGTGTGACATCCAGTCCTTGTATCCTTATGTGAAACCATTAATAAATTTATAATAAAATTTGTAAAAAGCTAAGATACAAGAACTGGGAGTGATTTTGCTATACTAAGGACTGGATTGATTTCCTTTTTTAATGGGCAGCACTCAGGCAGGGGTAAGATTTTTATAGGTAGAAAAGTAGGTCTAATGCTTAGTACTTCTAGAGACATCACTGTCATCTCTGCTTGTTGAAAGTCCCTCCTTTTGTTCATCAAAAGGGAGCAAAACACTAGAAAGTTCGAATTGATGGCATTGGTTCACCATGACCGATAAAACTCAGTGGTGTCATTTGACTCCACAATAATGTTTTTCGATTGAGCAGCTACCAGGTTTTATTACAGAGCCCTTTTCACTAAAGCTCCTTCAGTTCTAGTACCTCATGAGGACAGCCAGCTGGGAACTCCAGCACTATTGTAAGGCAACTTGAATAGTGAGAGATTTGCCCAGTAATTATTACAAAATCATTCGCATAGCCTTCTTAGCATCAGAATTTGTAACAATGGCCTATGACATTACTATTTTATGTGCCATATATTATCCTCCAAAGACGTCTAGCTTCTAAAAAATAAACTCTATTTTAGGGCACCAACACACTTCAGCTCACAAAATTACTTTCAACCTTTTGAGAAAGGAAAAATAAGGCAGCACTACAAAGGGAATCTGTCTAGCAGCCTGCCTCCAGGCTTGTGGACAGTTCTGCTCATTGATTTGCAACCAATGGTTTGGAAACTCTGGTTACCGAATGTTTACTGAGAAAAATTCTGATTACATTTTAGGCAAGCTTTTTTATCTGCTACCTTTTAATGTGTTAATTTACTCTACTGAAAAGCCAAAGGGCCAAATTCACCCCGCTGATAAGGCTTCTATTGTAGGAGCATCACTGGATGTGCACCGAAGGCATTATTCATCTGTGGAGAGATCACTGAGTAATATTGTCAAAATAAACACTTTTGAGTTGCACATCCTTGAAGAAAAGATAAAGGGATTGTGAAGAGAATGAGAAGGAACAGAACATCAGAGATGAAGAAAATTAGATAAAGGGCCAGGAAGAAACTGTTTGATGTAAACAGAGTGACAAGTTAGATTAAGAACTCTCATTAAAGCATGCAGTATTTGCCTATAAGCAATTCAGGCGAGGAATTTGTTTACAACGCTTTGCCAAAATCAACAGCAGATGCAAAAAATCATCAATATTGGGATTTTAAATAATATTAAATCTACTGTCTCCAAACACTCACTAGGACTATGTGAAAGAAATGTATAGCTCGGTGCCATTATATTCTTTGTCACACTAAGTAAACAAGGTTATGCCCTGTTGCGCACTGACATGCAGGCCCTGCAGAAGCTACTACTAATATGAGTGTGCCACTAACTACTCCTCAGTTACTTTAGTATGGATGTATCTCTGAAAATATATACTGGTGCCAAGATTTTATTGCTGGTGGGGGGGAAAAATCAAACTTTGTGAGGACTGTGTAATCTCAGATATGACTGTATGTTAAGACAGAACCTGCTGTGATTTTACCAAGTTAGGAAAACAAAATTTGGAGATGTGCTGGAAAACTTGCAGTAGTGCCCTTCACCAGAAAGTGTCCATCAGAAATTATATAGATGCTGAATTAAACAAAACTGCTTTCAGAGCAGATGGCGATGGTGAAGTGGATCAAAAGAACACAGTACCTTGCTCAACAACAGTGAGGAATTAGGGTTTTGGCAAAGGCCACTAAGCACAAATCCTATTGTAACTGAACCAGATTTAATGAAAGCTCCTCATTCCTCTTAGTCCCACATTAACATCCCCCTCTAGTGACCTCAATTTATGGTGGGGAATGTTTTCCTCAGTAGCTCGTTGGCTGATGTCCCTGTATGATTCTGTTAAGATGATGGGAATTTGAGTCACCACTTTCCTCCTGGCATGCTTACAGGTTAAAAAAATACCTGGCCTGGGAAAAACGTGCAGTGAAAATGAAGTTACACAATGTGCTGGCAGCAAAACTGTCCCAAGAAGCTGAACTCTCTGCCTTTCCCCAGCCCCTCATTCTCACCCTTGTGCAGGAGTTCACTGCACATGAGCTTCCTTTTTGTGCCAGTTCCCTGCGGGGCTATGATGCAAGTCAGACCATTGTTATGATCCGTGTTAAAAATAACCCTTCCTAAACCAACTCCACTACTAAAGCCAACGGATCGTATATTTGCACCATAAGACACCTAGTTGCTTTGACACGGTGTTGTGCACAGAGAGAGGCAGAAAGCTGTGTCAGAGGTGCCACTTTCTCAGGCTTTAAAGAAAACGTGTGACTGGTGAGCCACAGAATTAAAGCCATGCAGATTCAACTATTCCCATGCTGCAGGGTTCTTGAAATCCACATCACACCTAAATACCAGCAGCGGGAATTCCTGTCTGGTTTTGCAGTAGTCTAAACAAAAAATTCTGGTTATCATTTCAGCTAGTTTTTAAAGACTGACATGAGGTAACCAAAGGCCTAAGGGCCCTCTCTGTTAAAATTCAAAGTGAGATCACAGATGGGGATGTGGAGTGGGAAACCACCGACTACAGGGGAAAACAAAGCATCCATGTGCAAAGCCTAAGTATCACACTGCAGCTCATGACTCATCATTTTGATCATTCATTGAGGGAACGGACTGCTCGTTTCTCTCAAACAAAAGGTGTCTTCCCATTTTATACCATTGCATGGAAAGGCTTCTTGCAAAAAGATGTGAAAAAAATGACAGAGCTTCCTGTTATTTAAAGTTGACATTTGACAGGCTGAGTCCATGAATGAAACACTGTTCAAAGCCAGCAGACTTTTCTCCATAGATTTTAAAAAAAGATTATAAAAAATGCTGGCAATTACTTATTTTCATCTCTTATCTGAAATTTTCTTGTCTGTATACTGGGAAGGAGACCTGAAGGCAAATATGAAGAAGAGAGCATATTTCTTTTATTAGTTGAAATTATACAGTCCAAATGGCAGAACCTCTCCTTATGGCCTGTCCCCTATAGTCAAAAAGGGACTGACAGCTATGAGACAAGCAGATTTGATCTCATTTTCTCATTACATAATCTTTGGTTGTGCAAGAGTCTATAAAGAGTAAAAAAGAGGATCTGAATACACACAGTATAAAACGCAACTACTTCTTCACTCACATTTCAATACCCTTCTGCTGAACTACATATAAATTCTATTACTTTGTGTGCCGTTTAGGTTAACATTGTACAGAACAATGGCAGACAGACTCGTTATTTTTAAAGGTGTTTTACAGTGTGCTTTCAGTTGCAGCTCTTGGCTTTCGAGATGTTCAGAAGGGACGAGAAGAGAATGGCTTGTTCTTTGCTTGTGTTTTGGAATGGTATTTCTTTATATATTCCAGATAAATCAGAAAAAAAGAAACAAAAAATCCACACTATTTTAAGCTATTCTGTGTCCTGCCAGTGTCTCATTTGTATACAGCATACACTAGATTTGCCTAGAAGGATTTAGCTCAGTAGCTGGCACGTTTACATTAGAGAACAACATACACAGTTTCAATCGATTTCAAGCATTCTTACAATGGGAAATAAATATGAAAAGTGGTTGTTGCTGAAAGTTCAAAAAATGCAATCAACACATTGTAAAATCGCAAAAGGCCAGACAAATTTAATAAAATATTTCCATTTACCTTCCTCAGCTTTACACAGCCTGTTCAAAATAATAAGATTCTCTGTAGAGAGCCTTTATCCAACTGTTTATATCACTTCATACAAAATATGTGTTTGAATTACCACAGCAATACAAGGATATAAATTCCCAACACACGACATGCCAAATTCAACGTAAGTTATGTTTTCTTGGCATCTAGACGTTTTCCTTTTCTGTACTCCAAATACATTTTCATTTGAAACAAATTAAAAAGCATGTAGATGTTAAAACATAATGACAGCTTAGAATTCAAGTGACTTGTGCAACATTATTTTGTGCTTTCTACTTCTCCGTTTCCTCCTACTGCAATTAAAATTCATCATGCCCTTCTACATATACAACAGCAATGCATCAAGTTCAGTCCAGTATAGGTTTTTCAACCCTCAGACTTGGCTTTATACTACACGAGATCCTTGCAAATTCAAAAAAGTGCATCTTTTTTGTGATCTTTCTTTTATGTTGGATGATGTGAAGCTCTGATTAGCCGATGTAGAAGTGCAACCTTGAGGTATGATTGCAGCCTCAGAATAATTCTTATATGTAAAAAGAAATTTTTCGAGCGTGCACGCCCTTTCTGGATTTAAAAAAGACACCGTTATAATGGTGCTACTAGAGCCACGGTACAGTACATCATGGCACATCTCCATAACATAATCAAGGACATGAGATAGAACTTCTATTTACACAAACTTGATGCCACTTCCAGAAAAATATGACAGAAAAAAAAGGAAAATATTATTTCCTGAATGTCCTGAATTTTTAGACGATTCCTTTTACTTTCTCTTCAGCAATAGAGTGGTCCTCCACAACTGCATTTTCCCCGACCTGTTTAGCATGGACCATCTTTGAGAGGATGCTCACCCATGCCCCTTTACTCACAAGCCAGCTTGCTGTCAAAACTTGAAAGGGCAATAGCAAAGGCTTGTAGTGCGCACATCGGGTAGTTGTAGTCCATGGTGAACACATCCTCAGCCACGCGGCCAAACTGCATCACTATGTAGTCAGCTGCAAGAAAAGTCATAAAAAGTGACAAAGCATTATTTTTGTTTGCAGCCCTTACTAAATAAGTATGCATTCAACATCATCCTCTGGCCCAGCTCAATAAAATACAAACAAAACATGCTTACTCATCAAACTTTGCAACACTTACTCATGCAAGTGGGCGTGCTGATATCAGAGGGAGAAGCAAGGATAGCTTGAGTGAGGAACAGTTGAGTGCTAAAGGATTGCAAGACTTGTTACCGTCTTCAAAAAAATTACACAGATAAATAGTGTTTTTTTCAAACAGAGAGAGAAAATTGCTTCTCTATAAAATGCTCAAGCCTTTTATATATAGTTAGTGCCAAGTTTCACATGTACCAAGAACAAATTAATCCTATTCCTACTTAACTTCAGGCAAGTGGACAAGCAAGGATATTGGGGGAAGAGAAAGCATGACTGTGATCTAGACGTAATCATGTGTCTCTGTTATATCATATTCAGAAATTCTTCCTCAACTTTTTTTCCCTTTCATACTCTGTCAGCAAGAGGAAAACTCGCCTCATTCACAGTTTGAATGTTTCATGTAGAAGCAGATGTAATTGTTTCACCTTATAAAAAGCAGCAAATGCATACACCAATGTTTCAAACTCAGTGTTGCTCTCAGAGACTGGCAGAGCCACTTTCACCAGTTTCCAATATTCCCCCGCAGTCTAAGCATGGCACTGGTATAGCTCAATGTGCTCCAGCACCTAGTGGCTATGGCTGCCTAAAGTGAGTGTAAAGTGCGGCAGTATCGCTCCACTCCAGCACTTGTCTTTATCCCTGCTCCAACAACTGTACCTAAGCCCGAGAAAAAAGGGGGCTGTACACTGCTGGCAGAAAGTAGCACATCAGTAAGGTCCTAGTGATGTGTGAAAGGCAATCCTGACATTTTCAGGGTGTTCTGTAGGGCTAACGCTACAAAGAGTAGTAATGGCAAAGTGGACGTGCAGTGGGACCAGTCTGACTGCCACCATCTCCAGCTGGGCAGTGTATGGGGACCAGCGTGAACAAAAAAAACAAGGAAGGATTGTGTGATACAAGTGCTTGAGCAGAGCAATACTGCCCCACAGTCCTGCTGACTGGAAGTACCACAGCTCTGAGAGCAGAAACAACTCTAAACTGTTGCTCAGTTCATAAGCTGGGCAGCCAAGGGAGAGAACTAAGATAGCACATAGCAGAATCACCCGTCTCAAGCATGAGCATTTAAACACCCAACTTGCATCAATGTCATAGCCACACGGCAGAGCAGCATTAAGTTGGACCCACATAACTAAATTACACTCACTCAGGTAACAACAGTAGGGGCAGACTCACTGTCAGGCTGTGTGCGCAGTACTGTTTCAACACATCACAGACAGAGCTATACTTACGATCATTATCATGAATAATTTGGAAGTTTTTCACTGAGGCCTGTGTGACTCGACCATGGAAATTTAAAACATAGGACTGGGTGTCATCATTCCAGACTGGTGTTTTGTTATGCAGCTCAATGACACTCTCTGTATTTTTGTTCTGCCATCTTGCAAGAAGTGTTTCATGTTCCTGCACACACCACAGATACACACTTCAGTTTAACACTCTCACAAGACAAAAAATACTATTCATAAATCCTAGCCCAAAGACTAAACTGTCACCTTCAATCCTCAAAACAGCATCATCAAATGAAACTCTGAGTATCTTATTGCGAATGTGCATTTGAGTCCTTTCCACAGCTTGGAAAAGGTTAGTTGTATCTTTTGTTATCAAAATACATCATTATTTGTAGTGCTTTTGTGAGTCACAGAACTAGTCACACATCCCATTGTTCTGCAATTGTTCAAATACTGTTTCTTTTAACCTCTAAACCTTCAGAAATGCAAAAAACCAACTCTAACTGAAAAAGAATTCAAGTAATCTTTATCGTTGACTGATGGTATGACTTACGTTTCGTGGTCTGATGGAAACTCTTTCGTGGTCCATATTCATTCCCGGTATGATCACACTCATTTTACGAGGTCCTTTAAACCCCAAGACATTTGTTTCCTAAAAATGTTTAGAAAAGAGTTCATCATGTTCTGTATTCTTAAAGTTAACTTCTTCAACAGAGAGACACAGTGGCAGCCCAGGGAACTTATTTGTTAGTCAACTCAAAAAACATCTTGAAACTCCGACCTTCACTGGCACTGCCAAACATTCTAGCTTTGTCTTAGAAGCTCCGACAACAGGAAAAATGGAAATAGAGAGGTTTCCAAAACCACTCCTAGCACTGGCTGCCAGCAACCTTAATGCAATTTTAAAAAAGAATCCCTTTGTTAAGAAACTAACCAGATTGCTTGGCTACTGCTAGATCCCAAAATAAAGTAGTTGTAATTTAAAAATCATACAATGCAGTCACACATTTTGATGAGAGACAAAATTAAATATATGGGACCAACTCCATTTATTACAGAGCCAGCACAAAAGCAAACGAGAAGAAGCTGCCAGTAAGAGCATCTGTTAGCAGTGCTGTGGTTTTCAAAGTCTTCAGATATGTTATGCTTAGACATGAGCATAGTAAAAAACAAACACATTAGGATGAATGCAAATTTTTGAGCTATGAAGGCAGAGAAAGTAAAGAAATAACATGGGTAGCAAAAAAATCCGTTGAAAATACAAGTTCTTCCATTAAACATGATTTGATGCCTTTCTGACCAGCTTTTCACAAAAGCATTCCAGTATTGCACTATCGTCTGAAAACACAACCTCTAAAATCTAAATAGGCCTAAAGTCTTATTTTTATCTGAGGCTTTCTTTTTTCCACAGAAGAAACTGGGGCCAAATATTTCAGTAAGTCATCATCTACTTTTGAAAAAGTAAAGGGCGCTGTTTTCCAACTCACTCAGTAAAACCTGATTGCCTATTTTAGCATTAACTCCAGTAAATGAAACAGTGACACCTCCAGAAGTCCATCTCCTCATGTTTTGTGCTACTTTTATTTTTTTTCGGTCACATGCGTTTTTTCCCCTCTACCTTTTTCAAGTGAAGGGCTGTGGACACACACTAAGGAATCTCAGAAAGGAAATTCTCATTGGCACTATTGCCAACAATGTACCACAAGGTGCCAAGAACTGGACGCCCCCAGGCTCCAGACGGTGTGGCTCTACCACTGGGACGTACAGAAGTGACATATTCAGATGTCTCTGCTTTTATATATTTAATTAAAGTGTCCTGATTTTAAGGAATGCTAAACTTTTTAAAACATCTCTACTTTTACATGCAAAAATCCACACATCTCAACTCACTGGAAACATCTGAAAATACCCGCCTAAAATTTACTCGTGCAGAAGTTTTGTCATCCATCAGACCTTTGAAATAACTTTGGTTGTTTCAGCAAACCATCTGGAGATTTTACACAACTCACTGAAGATTTTCATGCATGCAAGAAAAATTCCACTGAGTTATTTTACTGAATACTCTTGAAGAAATCCAAGTATATTCCTATATCTTCGAAACTATACACATTAATGGGAAGATTCTACCTCTTTTCTGAATCACTTACGTCATGGCCTTTGGCAGGGTAAACCAATGTTATCAGTTCAGTTGGAAGTGTATACTTGGTTTTGCATCATGGCGAGACTCAAACTAAAATGACTGACTGCCAGCAGATTTTATAAGCAGGAGAGACTCAGCACAGCAGAGGACATTTTTTAAGAAAAGATTCATGCTTATTTTCCAGTAACTACTGACAATTTTGTTCTTCTTTGCAATGCCTTGCAAGCTCTTCTTCTCATCAAGCTGCAGTTCTGCTACATACAATTAATTTAGATGCCGACTGCTTGAAGACATTGTTCAAGGTAAAATTCAATAATAGCGCTGAACCACTTCCCTCCCAACAAACAGTATTATCACTCTGAAAAAACAGGACTATATTTGGATTTACTCAGAAACACTAAAATCAATGCTTCTGTCAAATGATAAGGGAACAGTTTCTAGTTGTGCATTACATCAGTCACCAATTATATCAAACATTTTATTGGCAAATGCTACCCTTTTGCTAAGATCAAGGTACAGAATTGAAATTCTACAAACATGGACTATATGAGGAAAACAGTAGGGACAAAAAGAGGAGCTTTAATTAAAAGCAGACCTTTCCAATCTACCTGCATCCAAATAAAATTAATTCCCCTTATCTCCTGTCTCATTCCCCGCTTCTCTTTTATTTCCCTCCTCCACTATTTTGTGTAAGTTCAAGACTGCGAATGGCATTATTAGGGGACCATAGGCCAAAGTCTGATTTCACACCATTTTAATGCCACTGACAGTCTTCGTTTACATAGGAACTCAAAATAAGAGCTGTTAGCTGGCAGAGCCCTATTGACTCAACGAGCACACCAATGATTTAAATCAGCTAAGGACTTGGCCCAGTATTGCTTTGAAGCTGCACTCCCTGCCTTAGCCCAACCAGTAAGCTGTTCTGTGAGTGTGTGGCACAATGAACTGGACTGAAAGAACACAGACCCTCTCCCCAGGGTTGCTTTTAAAATCTTACACACTTTCATAAAATTACGTAAGCATTTCACGATGGTTGCAATAGCTACCATGATAAAAGCTGCAAGGCATATATCCCAACAGCTCCCAGGAGAGTCACGATTTAATTACCCCAATTTTCCTTTAGCCACTTCCCTTTCTGGACTTCACTCACACAGCTGTGCCCTGTCCTTAATATATCCTGTAGAAACTATCGTTCCATAAAAAGCCCAAACTACAGAACCCACTACACTGGAGCACAACGCAAGCGATTGAGGCCTGAGTAGAAATACATAATTTTATTGCTTTCCTGAAACCTGAGTCACACCTCAGAATATCAGCTGAGCTCCCTGCCTGCAGAATCTGACACAAACTGAATTGTGAGATACTATGGACATAAAGGAATCCAGCACAGAAAATCCTGGTACAAATGGTACAGTTACACCTCCCTGCTTCTCGATAAATTTTGCCAAGCTATTCTGAAATCAGCCATTAGGTGCTGCTGCAGGTTTATTAATATGCTAGCCTGCCATCAGCGGGGAGAGTAAAAATGGTTAACAGCACCTGATAAAACTCAGTCCTTACACTAACTTTATTCCTGTTGCTTGAAACATGCCCTAAGGTGAGCTCCACAATGAGAGTTCTCAGCACGTTTCTCCCACAGTTAACAATAGATGCATCACCACTTTCTGCCTGTATAAACTAGACTTGCTGAGATGATTCAGCAGCTCAGGCTTAGTAAGTTGATGGAAGCAGGTACAGCTTGCTCTCCAGATGGGTATTTGATCGGATGAGCTGAGAAACAGTGAGAGGCATAGTGGTGCTTTCAAAGTGTTATTTATTATAGTTTTTGCTGCAGGAAAAATCTCAAGGCAGGAATTAGAAGGGTGTTTTGGGAGTGCTCTTTCTGGCATTCTTTGCTGTGGTTCTGCTGCAGCCAGGAACAATAATCTCACTTCAGCAAACCTGGCTAGTTATGAAATATCATTCTGATTTCCTTTTGTCCTCTGGCCACAGCACACCTGCAAGCCTGCTGCCTTTCTCCACAAGTATCAAAATATCAATGGAATAAGTCATTTTCTTATACAAATGTACAAGTTTTAAACTGCTGATCTCAAAACAGACATATAAAAGCAGCTTATCTTAGCCACATTCTCCAAACAGTGGCCATGGTTCTGCTCTTTCCAACACTCACACTTCTAATTACCTCTGCTGACTGCAACTGAGTTTTTTATTTGGTAATGTTAATGTTTCAAATGTCATTGCTGTTGACTTATACAAGCAATGCCTAATATTTTAATATATAACTTTTTTTAAAACAGTTTTTTGTTTTCTCCTTGTATTTCTACTTTGCACCAGAAGACTAGTTGCCTGGCTCCAGGGAATGCCCTCCTACATAAACCAGTAAAATTACCTTTATTAAACATGTAAGTTCTCCTAGGTTCCTACTGAAACTTCAGTCAAACTGTAAACTGACATCAAATCCTGGACTCTCTTGTTAAATCCTGTTAACTGGATTTTCTGACATTCTCAGAGAGTTTCAAATCCAACACGAATGGAGGGGTATGTGTGTGTTTGTCTGTCTGTCTGCAACCGTAGGCCATGTGCCTGAATAATAGCACATGCAAACAAAACCACTATTTATACTATATTCACAGAAAAACTGCATCCTAAGCAGCAGGGAAAGAACACGTTAGCAGCTAATACTGCCACCCCTCAATGCTCTCAGGACTTTGCGTGGAAAGGATGGCTCTCTGCTTTCTTTTTCATATGCCAAAAGCTTCCGGACTCATTGCTCCCTGCAACCTAGAGCTGACCTTTCCAGGAACACATTCTGTGCATACTCAGGGTATATGCTGGGATGGCTGGACCTCGGTCTGACATAGCTCCAGGCATCCTTGATTAGAGCTGGGCAGGAACTTTTCAGAAAAGTGGTTCTTGGGTATTTTTGTCAGAAGTTGTTGATTTGTGAAAACAGAAAACCTTCTGTAGCAGTGTATGTACCAATTTTGACTGGAAGAGTTTCTTGGGCCCAGAGACTTCTGGACAGAAAGAATACTCTCACCAAAACAGCTAGTCATCCAGTAATCATGAAACAACAGCACCTGTGCTTCAAGTCTTGATTGTCTGCATTGCCCCTGACAACTGCTATTTACTGTCTTGTAAGAGGCTGGTTTCTCTCATTCAATTAAATTTTGGATTTTGTTTGGGGTTTGTTCGGGTTTTTTTCCTGGTAAAAAGGAGTTTTAGAGTTTTTGTCTCAGTCTCTCAGCCACTGCTGCAGACCTAGCTGTCCAGTTACCCGTGTTCTGGATCAGAGAGGCCTCCTCCAAAATGCCATTACAAATGATCATACTTTAGTGCAGTAATTCCATGTGCATAACTCTTTCCAGTTCAGGAGGCTTCCTCAGATGGTGCCTGCAGGCTGTGAAGCCTCCTACTTCTTCCAGAGGGTTATGTAAAAGCTCCAACACCTTCTGACCAAAAGTGAGAACTGGGCAACCTGGTTCTGTGCACGTTTTTCACCTCTACTTTCCACTGAATTTCCTGGTTTGTCTAGTGAAGATCAACTCTTTGATTACATCAAAGTATGAATGCTGATTTACATGATCATAAGTGAGAAGGAAATTCAGTGTGCTGTTTCAGAAACTGAACTGCCCTTTCTTGCATATTTTGCCTGTGAGCAGTACTTACATAACAAATAGCAGCTAGCTCCTGACGCAGGATAGTCGCCTCCAGGCTTGATGTTGTTTTCATTGGATTTACTCCATTGTCATAAACCGTAAACTTAGTTCCCATAAGATTTGATCTATCAAAAAAAAAAAAAAAGGAAAATCCAATCACCATTTGCCAGTAATGCTGCCCGAGACATCTATCCTTTACTGCACTGTAGCCCCAAAGGAAAGACGAATAGTATTGAGTACAAATAGTTAATTCTAATCCCAACTAAATGGCAAGTCCTGGATTAAAAGCCCTAACAAAAATGTAAAGGTACACTACAGCAGAATATACTAAAGGTCCCTTATCATTACACTGGAGATTTCTCATGACATCTTGCAAACTAGTAAATTCAAGAAAGCAATAAGGAAACAGGTGGGGTTGTTGCATGTGTTTGCTTGGTTTTTAAAATATGCTTACTCTCTACAAAACTATCTGCTTTCTTACCTGACTACTAACTCTATAGAGAGACTGATTTTCATAAAGTTGTAAGTAAGATCAGTCACACCAAGGAGCACAAAATACAACTTTGAACATACTAAAACCACATTATCCTCATTCTGTTTTTGCACTGCAATAAATAGTGCATGACGTTCCGAGATCCACACAGGCAAATGGCAATTAGCAGTAGTCCCTTTCCTCAGGCACAGACAATCTAAACATACATTGAGAGGCTCCACATTAAGTATCAAACAACAGACTGATGTATGATGGGGTGACAGACAGAAAAGAAACACTTGGTTCTGAAAGAATTCCACTACTTGTAAATAACTCTAATTAGGATCTTAAGAAATGGGCAAAACCAAGGAGATTTTCAGATTGTCTAACAGACAGAACTTCCATTCCAAGGTATATATATCAACAGGGGCTAGACACAATCTACTCATGCACTCCTGAAAATCCCATTAAGATAAATTGTGCTTATACACCCTTGAGAACCTGGCCTTTGAGCATTTAAGAGCTTCAGTCCTGCTGACTTTTAATAGAATGTGATCTCGTAAGTACTTGAGATGTTTTGAAAACATGCCTTGGATACTGGTAAACTTTAAGACCGTTATCACATGATGTAGTCAAGCCTCTAATTAAAAAGTCATAGTGGCTTACAGGCTTCTTAATTTGAAATGAACTTTAGTTAGATAAAGAAAATTCTTAGATGTATCAGTGTTTACCTCAGTTTTCCAATAAAACTCTCTCCGCCCCGAGACAGGTCAGTTGGGTCTATGGAGATGAGGTAATTAGAGGTTTTACTCTTCTTTCGTTTCCTTCCAGCTAACAGAAACACCTAAGCAGTGCAAAAAACCATATTCTAGAACGCCAAAGGGGTTAGCACACACCACTTCCTGCTTTGATATAAGGAAACCATAGGCAATTTTTCTGTCTTCCAGCATTATTAGCAAAGTAACAGAAGGTCTCCTGGGACTTAGCAAAACCAGATAAAAATCTGGAAAGGGAAAGTGACTTCTCAACCACTCAGTCCATTATTTATGGTTTAAATAATTAAATTTGATCTATTTTGTTAAATGTTTCTTTCTAAGTTGCTGTGGCTCTTCCAGTTGAATTGAAAACAGATGCTTTTCAGGCCACAGAATGCAGAGAGCCTCAACTTCTGACTGTCACATAAAGGTGCCATGCATGGACTATTTAAGGCCAAAGATCAGACATATGAAGAAAGACAGTAGAACAAAGTGATACTATTGTTTTGCTTTTGGAAGACTGTAGGGCAGATCTCAGTGAAAAAGCAAATATATTTAAAATGTAAGATTATATTTTCTTTGTAAGACTTCTTCAGACTTCTAATATTTTTTTTATATTCAGATGCAACTGGTATGCCATTCAAGTTATTTTATGACCTTTTTACCATGCTCCCTTTCCAAGTGGAGGTAATAAGTAGGGTACATCCCTCGGTCCATTCCCTTCTTGTCTCTTGTGATTCTGCATTTGACAGTGACACCCTGTGGAGCAGGTCTTACGGCAAATTCCTCCAGGTCATCGACATCTATGAGAGGCTCATTTGTGGAAGGACTGGGGGCTGAGGCTGCTTCCTAAAACAGTAAGCAAAACTCAGGTTTCCTCATCTTTGATTTACAAGGTTATAAGTACAAAGGAATGTCATTTGATAGAAGCCACACTTTAAAAAAATAAAACCAACAGACATATTGTCTTCCCCGTTCTGATTCCTCAGCAGCCTTGAAGACAGCTTATCAAGCTAAGGATCTCTCCCCATCCAATTGGTCAAGCTCTTGGCTACCAAAGGCCCGGGGAGCAGTTCTCTGTGCCGCTGATGCTCACTGTACAGACACATCTTCAAAAGCAGAACGAGGTGGCTGCAGAGGCAGAGTGCTGTAATGTTACAAAGCAAACCCTGGCTCACACCTTCCCATCTCACCACACTTCTTTTTTCAGAAAGGCCATACCCAAGGACAGTGATGGCCTGTGATGAAAGGAAGAAATGTGGTAGGGAGAGACAGATTAAGCTAGATAGAGATATCAGAGAGATGAGAAGTCAGTGCAGTATATAAAAGAGTGGGGCACTATCAACTGGTTTAGCAAGAGCTTGTGATTTAGAATATTTGAACAAGACCAAGTCTTAGTTTATGTTCAGATGTTAGCAGCGAGAACAGGGCGGGAAAATGCTCAGAAAAAGGCAATAGAAACAAAAGATCCTTCTGAGCACCTGCAAGAGGTAGAAAGGTAAATATTTACTGTTTACCTTTCTCTTCATTCAAGTTCAGACAATATTTGCTATTCTTTTCTCCAAGTTATTTTCATTGCTTGCTCCTGTGAACCCTGAGAGCTATCACAGTAAATCACCTTGGAGATACTCTAGTGCATATTAAAAACAAAACAAGAAGCCAGGCCTATCCTGACTGCACTCTGAAATCACGCAGTACACAGCAGCCTGCATGTGCCTTCTTCGGCACTCACCCCTTACCTTATTGGATTTCTTGCTTGTGGCAGAACCAGGCCGGGTGTTACTGTTTAACTGTGAAGAACTGGAGCTGTCTTCATCTTCTTCATCTTCTTCCTCATCAAAATTCATGCTGCTTGAAATGCCTGAGGAGAAAGCAGCGCGCTTATATGAAATACTAATACATTAAAGCTGTCCATACTTGCTGTAAAACATCACTTATTATACTGTTGCACCCTTAGGCTCACAGGTGAGAGAGGGTGTGTGTGAGGGGGGTTCACTGTGTGAGGCAGTGTACAAATACGTGGGTGAGACAGTAGCTGCCCTGAGAAGCCAAAACATTTCACCAAATGAGAAAGGAAATATCATGGTTTCCATTCCACAGAAAGGATCGAGTTACCCAGTGATACAGGAGCAATATCCAGTTAGGAATTAAATTCAGATTTTCTTCATCCAATCAAGTACTTCAAACACAACACAAAATCTTAAACCTGAGATTGGAGCTGAGTGGACAACCTATCACAGCCATTTGGAAACCTTAACAATTAAAATACGAGCCCTTCTACAAGCACACTTTTAACTGTTCCTATGTGATCTGATGAAATGCAGATCTTAGACTGAGAAGGAACATTCACATCAAGGAAATGTTCTCATGCATATTTATTTCATGTAAAAAACAGTATCAGCCCAGGCCAAAGGAACTGCCTTACAGCACTTAAAAAATTGACTTTACAAGAATTCAAAACCTCAGACATTTCAAAGGGAAACACAACTTTGAACATCAAATAGGACTTAGCAGCAGAAAGCATCATTTGCCAGGCCTAGTTTTTCAAGGAGTATCATGCAGATGAAGCCACCCTGTATTCAGGTTCAAACTCTAAGTTCCACGTATTAGAGGCTAACTATGCAGTATTTTTTCCTAAAAAAAAAAGAAAAAAAAGAAAAAAAAAGAAAAAAGAAAACACTTGGTCCAGAATTTCCACTACTGGTAAGTCCAATGCAGAAGGATAAATGAAACACAAAGATTTCCAGAGTCAGGCAGCATGGGCATAATTAACTTTTTCCTTCTGTACTTACCAGGAACATGATCCAGGGCGACAAGACTGGATTGGGAGGTGGAAGAGGACCAGGATGTATTTGCATGGGGATCTGGGAAAGGAAAAAATCCATGGGCTTGATTCTGCAAACCCTTAACTGAGTGACCAAACCTAACTTGCCAACAGGACTCCGTACAGGGCTAAAGGCTTAGTGGATGGAGCCATAATGCTGCTGCCTGAATTCTCAATTATGGACATTTTATCTTTCTACACAATCAAATTCACTTTCTACCTGCTTATACTTGCTGTCGCCTTCTTTTTCAGTACTTTGGATAAAGTCAAAAAGTCCTGGATCACAGAGCTAAAGCTTCAGAAAACATCATCCATGCTAAATGGTTGTGCCACAAATGTTTCTGTGCACGATGTGCCCTGCATGGTAGGTTTTTGGCCTACTTTTGAATTCTAATACACACACAAAAAACACCTGATCGACACAAGTGATATACACAGATTCTACACAAATATTCATTCAGTAACATTGAAAAATTATTCAGACACATTCTACCTAAATCCCTGTGCCCAGTGTGTCATCATCATCTTTCTCGGGCTCTCTAAACTGTTCTTCCGGGACTTCCAGGGATACGCATAGAGACTTTCATGTAGCTTAGTCTTTTGGAATATGAGCTTGGTCTACAAGCAGAGACTGAACCAAACTAATGTACAGAAATATAAACATTAGAGACAGTATCAATAATGGGTTTCTTCAGTTCAAATTTTGGAATGGAATGAGAAAAAAAAGACACCAAGAAGGGCATTTAAATACTTTTTATGTTATTACTACTTCCAATAACTTCAATGCATATCCCTTTAAAATAGCTTTTGACACCAGATGCACACTGGATAATGAAACAACATCAGAGCAGTAAGAGCAAGTGTATAACAGTAAAACAGAAGCATATGCAGTGCTTGTATTCCATTCAGCTGCACCATGAATGGTCTTGTTATCCACTTCTTCAGTTCCCCCAGTCTGGACATACACCACACAGCATGACAGCAAAATGTTTCAATAGGATCTCATTATGCAAGGGAGGCCTGAGTTCACAGGTCAACAGATATTTTCAAAGCCTGTAGAACTCACTCATTATTAATTGCACACCCATTAATCACAAACATTATTCCTTAATAATGACAACCACATTCTACTCAACTATGCATGGGTAATAGAGACAGTCCATCTCCTCAGCTGGCAGGTGTGCAATAAAGCCATACTTCATAGCACAGACATAATCAGTTTATTTCTACATCCATGCTCACTATTTCACCACCAATATTTTGGTGGTGAAAATTCCATGTCAGCCTTAGAAAAGTCTGCACTCATGACCTGTGGGGAAGAACGCTTCAGAGAGCTCCTGTTTTGTTTTTGAACCCAGAAATCAAACCTATTCCTTCCCTAAATCTCAAAACAGTTGTAACTTCAGGTGACGAAGAAGAACTAAGACCAAATTGCTCATTCCAAGTCTTTATAGAGACACATAGGAAACTGATAAATGTGAAGACTAAATGTTAGTTATTCTGTGTTAAAAACTTATGGAAGCCTGGCTCTGTCCTAGTGACTCATTTGCCAAAGAGGAACTCACATATTAAGACTTCTGAAATCAAAAGGACAAATATTTCCTGCAGGAAGAAAATTATTCTAGTATGGCAATTTCCAACAGATGGAGAAATCAAATAAAACATTTGGCATTTTCTTGCAAGTGACATATTCTTTTCACACTCAGGTAGCCTATAACCTCTTGTCTCGTAACAGAACTTGACTCACTGGGGAAGCAGAGACACGTGCTGAGAGAGGCTTCCCTCCACAAAGTTAGTGTCAAAGAGCACAATGGGCACAAATCAGGGCAATGCAAATCTGATGGGACTCAGGCTTTCCCATTAGGCCAGTTAGCATTTATCTGTCTGTTCTTCTCCTTTTGCTCCTATTCCACGCAAAAGAAGGACTGATGGGAGACAGCAATTCTAAATGCTTTTCAGACCAACGGGGACATGCCAGTGAGGACATGCCACAAGCAGTGAAATGGCAGTTGGAATCCATATAAAAAGCCCTAGCTCTACATAAAGTTTCCCATGAATACAGGGATACTCCAAACTTTCTAACAACCCTCCTCTGCTGGTATCAAGTGGCAAACCATACACGCATAGTAAAAATATTTATGGAGGAGCTGCTAGTTGCAGTCTTGTCTTAATACCTTTCTTTGTGTCTCACAGAGCATAGCTCTGTTGTTAATAAAAATGAGTAAACCTCAGCATTCCCATTTTAAAAAAGCGGCCTCCCCCCTGACCTGAAGCATACTAGTGGTCCACTCTTAGCAGTGTCTGTTCTGATTAGGAGTATACTCAGACCTGGTAAAAAAAGGTCATATCATATATTTAAGAATATGAAGCAACAAAGCAAAACAAAACCAAATCAAAACCAAAAAAACCCCCCACCCACTACTTCTATTAAAAAATAAACAAAAAACTGGGGAGAATAAAAATATATCTTAACCTGGAAAAAAACATAAAAAATAGAAATGTCCCCCAGAGTAAAAATCTGAGTGCTCTGACCTAATTTGAGAAGTCTGTTGATAGTTTTTAAGTCAATCAGCTTTAGTAAGTAGTGTGCCTGATGATTAAATATTCTGAGCCATGGTCTAAGGCAACACAATCACCACACAGATCAGAACTGGTTAGTCATGCCAACATCCCTCCGATTCAAATGCCCAGGAAATACCACACTTGGAGAAAATCTGCCCATTTCAGTTGAAGTTGCTCACATCTGCAGAGTAACGTCCCAGAAAAAATGAATCTTAGTGAGAACTGCTCTGCAGACAAGAGGCAGGCATTTAGGTATAAATAGTCTATTCTAGATGAGTCGAGTTTGCACTTACATTTTGCTCTTTATACACAAAGAGTTCATTCTTAAAGCATCAGAACACTCTTGGCTTGAGCCATCTTTGCTTCAAAAGCTGTACACTGAAGAAGAACAAGTCCAAAGCAAATGCCTTCAGAAAAAGCTTTGTGAGGATTTTAGGATTTTTTTTTCCCCTTCCTACAGTTAATGTCTAATGAGAGATAATAAACAGTGCAGGAAGGAAGGGACGGATGCATGAATGTGTACATACACAATCTATCTCCCAAATCATGCATGCCTCTAGAAAAAAAAAAAAAAAATTCCAGAACATGTGAGGACTATGCATGGGAAATGCTGCAGAATACACAGTGCTGTAATTTTCACCTCTGCAAGCACGAACACACATTATGAAAACATGAACAATATTTAACTGACAACACAACTAAAATTAATATTCTAGTTTGAATGTTGCTATTCCCTACTCCTTTTTTAACCCTCAAGTAAGTGATTTCCAGAGTTGTGCAATATAAAAATGTGAACAGATGGATATGAGCATTAGCATCTGCCTGGTACCTTAATAGCGGCACTGCACTACAGATGGGAAAGCCACATCCCTGAGAGCCTGGAGAGCTCTTGTTCCTTGGGACAAGAGAGAACTTCATTATTGTTTTTTTTTTTAAGATAAGAGAATAGAGTCTAACAGGCTCTGAGGAGAAGAAACACAGAGTAACAATCTCTGCTTAGGCTAGGGCTGAGAGTGAGAATAGCAAAAGGAGTCAACGTACATAAAGCAAGCAATGGGAACATGAAGGCAGCTTTGGCTACTTACCTTTTTTCTGCATTGCTGTTCTAAGATCTTGTTTGCTTTGCTGTTGTTGGCCACTAGCCATTTTCTCTCCATCGTCTTCATCATGGCTAGACTGTCCAACAGTGAGAATCTGCACTTGACTTCCTATCTTCTGAACGTCATCTTGAAAAGCAGCTGGGCCATCAATCCCTGTCAGGCAACAGCAAAAGCCTTAGTTGTCTTTGTGTCAGGGAGTTATTGAAAAGAGAATTGCTCACTCACAAAAAGCATCTTTTCTAAGAATCAGAGATCAGAGGTTCACATTCAATAATATTTCTAGACTTAAACAAGACTAAACTAGCCTCCAAGGTAAGCATCTTACTTCCCACATACTGCACTAGAGAATCTCCAAGAGGTGGTCAGGATTTCACTGTTGCCCTCCTCACCCCCAAAGCACACCCATCCATGCACCAGAAACACTGAAAACAAAACAGAAAAGAAATTTATTGGAGAGGACTGACAAAGAAAACAGATGCAGCTTTCATAAGGACACACAACTGGTCCAGAAACAGATAAGCCCGAGTCCCAGATTATGCCACATCCCCTAATAAACAACACTGCTATTATGAAATGATGCTTCAAAGTTTCAGAAACCTGGAAAATTCACAAGTAGATCTAGCAGTGTATACAACAGGAAAAGCAGCACGTTAAGAAGCCTAAATACGCCTATTAAGTTAGTAAATTGCTATACAGTTAAAACATCAGTGTGAAACTATAAAGAGGATAATACATATTCCCTGGAATCTCCATCCTCTGAGATACTCAAATCCCGACCAGGCATGGTCCTGGACTACCTGCTCTGAGCAGGGGCATGGGACTAGACAGTCCCCAGAGGCACCTTCCAGCCTCAGCCGTGTTGTGATTCTGTGGCTTCTGATGACAGCCAGAAAGAAACTATTTACCTCCTCACAGCTGTAAATCGCCTCTGAAGACAGAACAATGAAAATAGGGGGTGGGGTGGGGTGTGTTCTTGTCACAAGCTAACTTCATTTTTTTCTTCAGGACAGCAAGTTAAAACATCAGATTGCAAATGTACTTCAGCTCTTAGTTAAGACTTAGTGCTGGTCTATGTTACTAAATTAGCTATATAGAAATGCACTTTTGCACCAATAAAAATGGTAACATTATCATGTACAGATATAGTAAATAACATAAGCCTATATACTGTTCCTGTTCTGAAATTTTTGTTAATAAGCAAGCAACATTGTGGAGAATTAGCAAGCACTACAAAGAGCTAGTTCAGTAAAAGAATACAGTGCTTCTCACACCAAACAGAGCTGAATAAATCCTGTAAGAAGGAGCTGTAGGGATTGGGATTTTTTCAGACTGTGATGTGTAACAGAAATCTCCAAGAATACCATTTCAACCCGCCTTGCCAGCAGCTGTCAACTTGCATTAAAAGACAACTGGATTATACATTTAGCATGCTTAACTGTACTTCGCCATACTAGCCGTCACTGCCGCTGTGATAGGAAGCATAAGTGGAAAAGAGAGTGGTCCACACCCTCAGGAACAGGAACAGCACTGGCTGTGCAACTACCTAACAAGACGCAGTCTGACACTGCGGAAGTATTAAATTCACAGAGTTCAAGATCACAAGGAATTATTGACTCATCTGCATCACACAGACCCTTACCTGGCAATTTCTGCACTAACCGTGTAAATTCTGATTTACTTACAGTAAAACTGACAACAACAACTAACAACAAATAAACAATCTGTCCATCCAACCTTGAAGGACTAAATAAAATCCGTGGAAATGTTTCCCTCATCTTGGTAGGATGACGATTTCAGATAGAAGCTCTGTGTGATGCAGAATGAACGGTATAATTTCCTATGTTGCGGGTATAATATGGCAGGGAACAGAACAGCAGTTTTCTTAAAAGTTATCTCAGGATAAGCACTACAGCAAAGGTGCTGTAGAACAGACAGGTAGCTGCTCAGATCCACTGTGTTATTTTTAACAGCTTTAACCATATTCACCATTATCATTAAAGTGGCTGCCTAAAGTTAGGTTCTTACCTTAATAATCTGAATTTCAAAAGCGTTAAGCATCCATGAATTTAACAAGATGCTCATACCTCATGCATATCTATCTAGCCCCTTATTAAGCTTTGGACGATACAAACCTAATTTTGAGAACCCATTTCAAAAGGATCAAAACACCTTAATTATTCTTCTTCAAAGCAGACATTGATCTGCAGCAAATGAAATGCCTTTGACAGTATTAGACGTTGCACTGGGGCTGCTTTTTTCTGATGCCTGCAGAACATCTGTGCTCACATCCTGTGCTGTCAGGAACATCACGTATTATTGGGCGTTAGGACAAAGGCTACACTGGCAGGTCACACTTTTAGAGAAGAAAAATCAATTTCAGTATTCTGAAGAGTGCATCACTGGTAGAGTGTGTTATTAAGCATTATGAATGGTTCCACTGGTGACCTCACTTAAGGGAATGGAAGATGTAGCCAGACTGGGGGGCGGGGGGGAAGAACCTCTGCTGCATTAGAACACTGTAGATGGTTTGTGGCTAATGCAGCATTAACTACTTAATATTTGTGTGTTTGCACACATCTTTGTAGCTATATATGCATGCGTAAAATGGTATTAAACACGAGCATACATACACATTTCTTTGTTCTATATCATGAGATATATCTTTGTAAGTCGTCGTTCAAAAGGCAGCTTTACCATCACCTAGTTAATGTCTGAAAACACTTCCAAGCTTGCGTAATCGTGATACTCAAGGCAGATCTCTCCCTATGTTCTCACTTTTTTTGCCTCGCTGACTCCTTTTCACCCACTTACTGGAAGGATGGTTCACTGTGCAATAAAACAAACCATTCATGTCTATAGTTACAAGCTTCCCAGTTTAAGGACAGGGTCAAAAGAGGCAAAGAAACTGAGCGGGCTGTGCCAAAAAGAAAGTCTTTATTGCTACAGTCAGCGTTTTCTACAGCTTTTCCCAAAAATCAGGTAGAAAAAAAACTGATAGATATGTCCTTGAATACCTGCTACTAAGAAAAGGAGTTTTTGAGAGGCAAATGTGAAGGAGGGCAGGGAGGAAAGAGGAAGACTGAAACAATCCCCAGAATACCAGTCCCTTCAGCAAAGGCCTTCTGGTAAACTTTGACACGGCCACGTCTCAGATGAAACCCAGAGGTACCAGAAACGAAAACAAAGAGATAATGAAAAAAATGCATTAGAAAATTGGCATTCACTGGCATTTCCATCCTATAAATGACTATTTATCAATGCCTGTATTCTGTTAGCACCTAAAATCTTCTAGACAATATTTATAAATAGACAGTACCATGCTCTTAAAAGCTGGTAATCTAAACTACCACATAGAATGTTTTTATAACCTGAATTAATCTAAATTCTAAGAAATTCAAAATACATTAGGTGGACATGAACTTAACTTTGATCTCAGGTATGGGATTTTTAGATAGGATTTTTTCTTCTTTTGCTGTAAACACAAAAAATGTTAACTATCTACACAAAAAAATTCACAAGATCCAGGTCTGGAATGAGGGGAGAGAGAAAAAGGTATGGGAAAAATAAAGAAGAGAACTGCTACTGAAAGCCTTGGAAGAGGAATAAAGTGGCAAAATTTTGCTTCGTGTTTATGACATACGAGAAACAAATCTAAGCTTTCGTGCCTTATGTGATACCACATTAGGCCTGTTTGAAACTTCAGCTTCTAAAGGATGGACCAACAACCCAAAATCCATTCAGTCTCACTGGATTTAGTAATGACAATACATTTCAAGGGTATGAAGTCGAGACCTTGTTTTATTATTCCAATCCAGCAACTAAAGGAAGTATCTCTATGGGAGGGTCACCAGACACACATTTCTCTATCCTACATCCCCAGCAGCTTTCTGCTGAACAGTTTCCAACCATTTTGATACGTCCTACAGATAGATGCTAAAATGAATATAGATGAGTCATCTCAGTTCTACTAGATGTAGTTATGAAATTTCTGTCTGACAAACTAAGCAAGTATAGACTACATGGGATGAAGGCTATAGATCCTGAAGTACATCCCTCCTCCTTGGCTCTACAGATCTAGAGGTTGTTTTGGGGTGGTTTTTTTTCCCCACACAATCGCACTAATAGAGCATTACAAGTGCAGTTCTGGGTATCCATTTAAGCCTCGTGCATTTTTATTTCAGCTTCGCAATCTTCAAAATTATTTTGCAGGAAAGAAATACACTTCCTAACCCTATTTGCAAGTGGGAAACTAAGGGTATAGTCATGCTGAACACAAGGCTTAGATCAGTCTGTTGAATAGTACTGTCTAAACCCAGAATCTGTAACAGAATAGGTCTGAGTGGAACTTCCTCTCAAAACTGGACAGAAATTAAGCATTTCTAGACAACCCATCAGATAAACTCTCAAAGTCATCACAGTCTAATGACACGATAATATTACAGCAATATTTCTTATTACAGAATAAGAAAATTAAAGAGGATAGGCCAGAACCACAATTTTGATTATTTCATTACTCAAGAGATAATCAAGAAAGAATATTTAAAATTTTTAGGGGGTGGAGGGAGAAGGTCAAATGGGAGGAAAAGACTACATACTACCAAGCTATGTATGACCAGGGAAAGTTCAGAGGGGCAGCTAATATATGTGGCCACCACTTATAGACAAGTACGAGACGAAACGTGAGGAAAGGTTTTGCTATCTGACAGTAGTGCACGATGCACAATGGTAGTCTTGAAAAAATTAGTTACAGATTAAATATGTGACAAACTACCCAGCAGCAAATTACAGGCATAAGCATAGTGAGTCAGCTCTCCAAAACATTATTTAAGTATTTCACTATATACTACATGAATCCCCAGTAATTGGATCTTCAAGGAAAAGAATCTAATTGTATTTATACACATCATGTTCCTCTCTGCATGTATTTATACATGCAAACATTTTGCTGTGAAAAGATTTTCAGCAAATGTTATTTCCCATTGGTTCTTTTACATGAACTTGTAAGTACAGGAAAGAACGATCAACTGATTATTTACAGAGAGTCTTTAGTGCACCTAGGCCACCATGAAAAGAGAGATTTCTAAATTATTTGAAAATAACTGTTATAATAAATTAAGAATTTCTTCATAGACATTTGCAAACTAAGAAAGAAA